TTCTGTTTTGTAGACAAGGCATGGACCCAACTTAATTCTAGGGATAGTGAATCGCATAAAAATTAAAATTTTATATTTATTGTAGTCTATCTTTATATATCATTATTCAAAGCATTTTATTTATTTTTATTTTTTTGTCAGTACGGCATATCTTCGTTAATCCTTAATCAAATTCAAGGATTGAGCCATTATTTTGAAGATTATCTTCCCCTTCGGATGCTAAAAATAAGGACATCCCTAGAAAAGTTATGAAGAAAAGCTTCCTTGTTGATTTAAAGGTTCCAGTGTTTTCTAGATTGAAGAACAATGTCCCCTATTGACAACTGTAGGAACAGTTTCCAAAAGAAAATTTTAAAAATCCTATCATTGTTGTTTCTATAATGCTCTTGAGATCAGTGTGTTTCATTCATACCTTCCTACTAACATTTTTGCTTAGATTGAGTTGAACATTTATCTTATCTTATCTTTATAGTTAAATAAAGATTTTAGAATTTTTCTGAGGTATGTCTATCAGTGTTACCGATCCCCTGTCGATTACTAGAACAAATGAATTTCCCACTAGTGCAAAAAAGATGTTTATTTTTTTTTTTTAATGGAGATTACACTTGCATAAATGAATTAAATTTTTCAATTTTGAAGTGTTAAATAGCAAAAGGAGGCCATACAGATTTTAACTGTCCAACGGAAAAGTTAATAATTATAATAATCCTTAGATATTTCCATCATTGGTAGTGTTATCCAAAATCGGTATTGGTCTTGCACTTTGCAAGATCAAGACCAAAGCCACCTAACTGTTGCAAGACCAAGACCAAGACTGTTAAAAAAATCGATTTTTTAAATAAAAATTATGGTAAAATATTTACTAATACTTGACAATCTTAGTTACTATACGTTAATAATTGGTATAACTAATATACTTTTGCATTTAACTCCTCTAATTTTTCATTCGGGCTTAGTTAGGTTTCTACAATAAAAAAAAATATAGTAATATCTCTATACTAACAAGCTGATACGTAACTGCAAGACTCTAGCGCAAGACCAAGACCATGACCAAGTCTGAGTTTGCAAGACCAAGACTCGCCTCGCTCTCGCATTTGGTAATCACTGGTGCGCTTACCCTAAGGCTAATTGTAATTTTATTTATGTTTTGCTCTATTATATTTTTATTTAAAACTAAAACCTCTCTGAAATAAATACATTCCATATACTTTTATCTATATTATATTGTGATTAGTTTACTGAACGATATAATATGCAAATTATTCGTACAAACAAACTAGTCAGATTATTTAAATTAAAAAATCACAATTCAATAATATCTAATGACAGAAACCTGTGATAATTGTTAGAGAATGATTTTTTTTTCAAGATATCGCATATGAAAGTCCTTCTCGCGAGAGTACGGAGCCTTTAAAATCGATGACGTTTGGTGAAGACACGGTAGCCATTGCCACTCATCTTCTAATACTTCGCCGCGTCCTTAAAAGGAGTTTCAAAGAGCCGGCAATCTCACCTTTACTTCAAGCTTTTTATTTTTCTCCCGTAGCTTTAAATTTAATTTATTTAAGTACCCTTTTTCGTCAGTTTGCGGCCATCTAGCGGTTCATCACAAACGTGCCGTGTTTCTAGTATGTTTGTGTTTTAGTTCTCGACAGGGAAACTCAGTCACTGTAATAGTCCTCTAATGGCCTAAATAGAAAATAATCTTCACGAAATTGTTGTAGTTTGAGTTTTTAGGGTCAATTGGTTCAAACAATTCAGAAAATTAATTTAGTGTTAAAATAAGTACACTACTGCAGCAACTGAAAAAAACAAAATATTAATAATTTTTTTATTTTATTTTTTTTTTTTATTTTTTTTTTTTTTTAGGCATTTTAATGGATCTAAGGGATAGTGTTGAAAGACCAAAATAAGTAAAGAAAGTCAAAATAAGTAAATAAAAGTTATACGAAAAACTAATTTATGTAAATAATTCATTGCGTTCTATATAGAAAAAAATAAATCCACAATTCTTTGGTCATTTGTCATTGTTTTTCATCTACCTGTTTGAATAAAAAAGAATTCTTTTGGAAATGTTTAATAAGAAGTATAATTCAATGTTTTATTTATTTTTTCATTCTTCTTATTCCGAATCGAATGGTTTTGATAATTTAAATAAATTTTAACTATGTTTTTGTTGGTGAATCTTGAAAATGTATAAAATATATTGTGTTAGTATTCCAACAGTTAGGCGGCTTTGGTTTTGGGCTTGAAAAGTACAAGACAAGACCGATTTTGGGCAACCCTAGAAATGTAGTGGGTATTGGGCCAATTAATGCTATATCGAGACTGATTAAATTTCTAGATAATTATTTATTTATATATAACGAATAATTCCTCACCGATAATTTACGATATGCAAAACTTGAAAAAAAAAAACTTTAAATTAACTAGAAAACTAAATAATTTTGTTTAGAATAAAAATAATAAACCTAACTTATTAAATCATACGTTTGCATGTAATAAAAGAGACATTTTCTTGTCATCCTAATTCAATTGGATGTAAAACAGAAAAACATTAATTTTTCAAACGTACATCTGTAACCCTTTCGCTTAATTATATTTTTTAATTCTGATAAAGCTCACGCAACTGCGTTCCGCACTATTGTTTCTGTATATTTGTGATTAAAATTCATTAATAATTAAATTTTTTAATTTTGGCTGATTATGTTTTACTGATTTTATTTAAAAATAAATATTGAAATTAAAACAACTATCAATAAATTTACCTTAAATTCCAGTCGATTTCGAAATGAAGATTATTTGTACAATATTCCTTAATTACAAAAAGTTTAGTCTTTGTAAGCACTCATAGTTCAGAGTAGAAGTGTAAAACAATTTTTTTCGAAACAAATTGTTGTCAAACTATAATGAATACTTCTTAAGGAAATACTAATGTACCTTGATCAATGTGACATGATCAGTATTTAAGGTTCAGATACCACCCATTTCATAGAGACTGAGTATGACACAGATCGGATTCACGGCGAAGTTATGAGTCCTTCAATTAATCTTAATTTTTTTTCGTTTTTATCACTTCATTTTTTTTTCTTGTTATATAGTATAAATATTCATCTTATTCTGAAGATTTTGCAGTTTAAGGAGGTTTATATGTTTATAATAATTTCTGTATATTTTATATTTTATATTATGTTATATTCTTTCTAATTTCTAAAAAGGCGATGGGCCTCACTCTTTTTTTTTTTTTGTATTGAACTTACACTAAAATTAACTAACTTAAAATATCTTCATCATTTGAATGACCTTTTGTCTATTTTCTTTCCGAAGTGGTAGCCATTTGCACTGTATCGAAAGTCGTCAGTGGGATGCGGGTTTGCGTTTTCTATTCGTTTTAGACTCTCTAGAACACGATTATTATGTAATTTTTATAGACTTTATATATATATATATAAATTCCCGTGATTTTCGGCTCCTCCAGCGGCCTCTGTTGGGCCGTATTGGCTAAATTTTGTATATAGTGTTGGTTGTCAGGCAGAACAATACTATTAAACTTTGGAAAATCTTGTCTTCATTTTCACATGAATAAGGTTATTTCAACTTAATTTTATTTTATTTATTTATTTATTTTTTTTAGTTGTGGCAGAATGTATTAATATTCAATAAAGAAAGTTAAAAAAAAAAAAATTTTTTTTAGTATTGATAATAAAGTTGGAAGATTGAAACTTTTTATCTACAATAAGTTGATTTGGAGGAGTACCTGTGGAGGGGGGGAGGGAGAGTTTCTCATCAACAACCAACATGTGACATTTTAACAATTTTGAAAATCAGGCAAAAAAATATATTTTATACAAAAATTTTCATACATAATAGAAAGAGAAAAAAACGCTACAAATTATTACACAATATTTTATTATTCCCAAATTGTTATATATCAAATTTCACACTTATTTCCTAACCAAAAAAATAAATAAATAAAAGGTATTGGGTAATATCGGCCTGCATAAGAATATTTTTTATTTTTTGTTAAGAAACATCCACAATAATCTCAATTTCTTTAGCCGATGTAAATCTTTCCAGTAATCAAAAACTAAAACAATGTATATATAGCAATATATGTCTCTGTACCAAATCGTCCCATTTGCTCTTTTTTTTTATTTCAGGAAATGTAAACTTTTAAAAACATACACATGAAGTGGATACACACGTATCTAGAAATGAAAAATTTCAAAATTTGAGAAGGGTTATATATATTTTTTTTTTGTTCGATTACAATAGTTCATTATGGAAAATGATGGGTCAAAAATATTTTAAAGCGGCATATCTTAACTAATATAGATTTACGTTTTCAATGTATTTTTTCTCTTTTAGAAATTTAAAATATCGTTGAAATTCTCGATCTCATTTTGCATTCATTCTAACTTATCTTGGGAAAGTGTGTTATATACATAAATTTAATGCGCTTCAAGGAAAATGCTTTAGGCAAGTTTTTTAAAAAAATAATTACATCCGTTTAGACGCTGCAGTCTATAGCATCATAGGATTTTTCTGGTCGCCATTTAGAACGGAAAGGACCAGTAACAATGTAGAGTTCCGAGGATCATTCTCCGGTGGACCTATTATAGTAATTACTATAGTAATTATATTATATTTATATAATATTTCTGTTACATACTTTATAAAAGGTTTCGGTAGGGTATTACCGAGTATTAGTATTAGTGATAAATTTTAATATTTCACGAGACTCGGTAAAATTATTCATGGATCTCAAATGACCAAGTTTCTCTTGTCTTGAAATTATATATTTATCCTTTTTAAAATAACCAATTCAATTAAGATCTGTTTTCTTCTTCTTTTTTATTATTTATCAATATTATAATGAAAAACTTCGCCTGATAAATACATGTTTTTAAACTTTATATATTTATAATTTTAAGTTGTATATTACATTTATTAATCCGTTGAGTGGCAATCTTTAAGCAGTTTTATTTTTCTGGTTTCAGGACGAGAGGTCCAGGCTGGAGAAATTCTATAAGACACAACCTCTCCCTCAACGACTGCTTTGTGAAGGCAGGAAGGAGTGCCAACGGGAAGGGACATTATTGGGCAATTCACCCCGCCAACGTGGAAGACTTCAAGAAGGGTGACTTCAGGCGGAGGAAAGCTCAAAGGAAGGTGAGTTTTCGCCATAATCAATACAACAAGAAACTTTCAAAGATTCTAACATAAGAACCTTTTTCTTATAATTACATTATAAAAAAATTGTAATATGTTTAAATGTTCAAAACTGTTTCAACGTTCTAAGATAATTATTTCGGTATTTTCCTACCAGAAACAAACTTTTACATGTATCCTCAAAAAAAAAATTTTGTTCTGACGTACTTCCATAACCTTCACGGCATATTCCGATTGATCCAGAAATTATCATAAGATCGGCTAAATTAATAGTAAAAGTTAAAAGAAAATTTTCTTACAACAAATCAGTTTGAAAAAATCGTAAATTTAGTTCAAATGATAAAGATAACTTTTTTAACAATAATAATTTTAATTTCCTATGGCTACTAGGTAAGAAAATTATTGTAATCGGATCAAATTTTTTGTGCATATTTTTGAACAAATTATTACGTTTCAAGGCCCCTTCTGAATCATTTCATTTATTTTGTACAGGGGAGCCAACCTTCCTCCCTCTGTTCGATGGTCCAGTTCGATATTAACCTAAAATTTTATTAATAATACATTATAGGTTCTATCCTGAATCAGTCATTCTTAATTTTAAAATTATTTACATTTTAAATTTTTGTTTCAATTTAATTTAAACTTTTTTTTAAATAAAAAACTATTATTTAAACTATTTATTAAAATAATAATCAACATGATAATACGCCCCGGAATTGGGTTACTCCTAATTATCAACAAAGTTTGGTCAATGGTTAAAATTCAACTGAAGAGATTGAAGAGCATTTAAGGTTAGTGTGTGTGTGTGTGTGTGTGGAGGGGAGGAAAGGGGGTTAAATACCAAACTTTAGATGCATTATTCCACTGGGTCTAGCTCAAGTGGCGTTTTTGAGAGAGATAGTAGTGCAGGGATATCCTGGAGTCATGCTTTTCCCTCCACAGTTGGAGGGATAAGTCTGGCTCGGAGTTCCCTCACCTGATTGGAAATAGTTTATGTAGGTATGTAGGTTTTATTTATTTTAGGTTATTTTATTCTTATATATTGTATACATATTATTTTCCTGTATAATTTATTTTTATTTATTATACATAGAGTGTGAATTTGGTCTCTGAATAATTGAATAAATATCCTTTGAGACAGATTGTAATATTTCTCAATAAACAAGTTCTAAAAACAAAAACAAAAATAATTATATATATATATATATATATATAATATTATATATATATATATATACAAACATATATATATATACACATATATATATATATATATATATATATATATATATACATTGTTAATGAATAAATAATGAATAAAAAAAACTTTTATTTTATTTTAAAATTTAAAAAAAAAATTGAACCGACCTATAGGAAATAATAATGAGTTGAAAGTTGATTAGATTTCAGACATTATTAATCTAATTTTGATATTCTTCATTCATTTTTTATGTTCTGTATTTTTATTGAATATTTAATAATTGACCGTTGCATTATAAAGGAAGGAGATGGTCCGGGGTGGCGGTCATAAATAGGCTAAATAGTGGTCAGTTCTAAGTGAACACACCTCCTAGCTGAACACACCTCCCTGAAGAAGACCTGCAAAGTCAGGTCGAAACGTTGGCTTTAAATAAAATAGTTTTGCCACTATTTAGCCTATTTATGATCGCCACCCCCGAACCATCTCCTCCCATCTGTATTTTTAATTTGTGTTTTCTTGTTCATTGTGGTAATCTGTCTTTTTAATACTAAGTGTAACCTAATACTTTGATAAGTTTTTAGTATTTCATTTGATATTGGTTTTCTCACATCGTTATTAACTTGTATATTTCCTAGAACGAATTTTTTATTGGATAAATGTTGGTGAATTAATACTTTATTGTCAATAAACAATATATTAGTATTTAATTGTTGTTATTTAGTTGTCAGTAACTATTAATGTTTATATTTTTCTACTTTTAAAAATGTAATGTTAATTTATTCGATATTTACGTCTCTTTTGGTAAAGTTTACGTGGACTTAAATTCAAGAATCTTATATTATCTAAATTCCTTCCTTCCGTATATAATATTTTCCATAAACAAACTTTCAACACTAACTATACCTATATTCTGCTTTATGTCAAGCGCTTATTCTTTTTATAACAAAAAAGATCGGATCATCTTTCCCACCTTTCTCTAAAATTCTCTTCCTCCATATCTCTCTTCTTCCTTTAAATTGCTCTTTTTCCGACAACTCCCAAAACAAATTAAGTTATTTTTAAAATTCTATGTTTATCGTAAACCAATGACTTCCTGTCCTACAGTTTCCTTTAACAATACTCCTCTTATCCCTGTTGAGTAAATCCGCTATCTAGGACTTCACCTGGACAAACGACTAACGTGGAATCCTCATACCAGACTGAAACAACAAGAAACCGCTCGACGTTTCCGACTACTTCAGATCTTACTAGACGCACTAAACTTCCAATCAATTACAAAAGACTCATAATACATGACTATAATAAGGTCTATTTGGACTTACGGAGTTGAGTTCAAGGGCTCCACTATGCCATCGAATTCCTCTCGTATCCAATCCCTACAATCCAAAATCGTTCGTAAGATCCTCAATGCTTCCTACTTTGTTACAAATAAAACCATCCATAATGATCTTAATGTTTCTGATCTGGCCCAATACCTACCCTTCCATAATAAACTTCAGAGTCATCCCAACCTTTTCGTTTCTAATCTTGCTTCCTCTTCAATTCCTGTTAACCCTCCGAGGCCTCTGAAAAGAAGACGGCTCCGTGATCTCCTAATGTAGACATATCATTAGAGTGTTAACATTGGGTAGTTACTCAGTAACTGTTTTCACGGCATTATATCCGTATGTTGAAATTTACTAAATGTATTTCCTTAATACAGTTGTAAATATCATTAAGAAATAATTTTTATTTTTTAAAACTTATTTATTAAAATATATAAAAAAACAAGTTAATAACGATGTGAGAAAACCAATATCAAATGAAATACTAAAAACTTAGGATACACTAATTAAAAAATGGATTATAACAACGACCAAGAAAAAACAAATTAAAAATACAGAAAACAAAAAATGAATGAAGAATATCAAAATTAGATTAATAATATCTGAGATCTAATCAATTTTCATCTCATTATTTTTTCCAAAAGGTCTGTCTGTTAAATAAACGTTTTTAATTTTAAAATAAAATAAATGCTTTTTTTAAAAACCTCCACTGGCTTTAGCACCAGTGATGCGGTTGAGAGAGCAGCGCAGGGATCTCTTCGAGTCTTGCTTTTCCTTCTATATTTGGGGGAGAAGCCTGGCTTGGGGTTCTTTGCCTAATTGTATATATAATAACATTTTTTTTTTAAATAAAATAAAAGTTTTTTCTATTATGTAGTTATTCATTAATAATGCATCTTTTTTTTTAGGACTTGTAAATATTACAAGCTATATTACTAGGATTATTATAATAGTGTTCAGAGATCACATTCACACTCGATGTACAATAAATAAAATAAATTGTACAGAAAAATAATATATATACAATAAATAAGAATAAGATAACCTAAAAATAAATAAATAAAAAGAACAGTAATATATATATATATATATAGATAGATAGATAGAAAAAAAAACTTTATTCTGGGACTAAGTCCCTTCAGAATAACAATAATGTACAAAATAATAGAATATTACTGGCCTGAACGTTGAAACAATAAATGAAATTGATAAAATAAAATAAAAAGTAAAGAAAACCTTAGGTGCACAAGCTATATACAATACAGATACTACTATGTACAGAGCATTTAAAATTATGAATAAAACAATTAAAACTATGAACGAATCATTTGAACTATGAACAAAATTATATTTCAGGGTTGAACAACATATATATATACAATATATATATGAAAATAAACAGTTACTTATAATTGAATAAAAAAAAAAATACAAAAAAATGTGTGTGTTGAAATTCCTACGTCGATAGTAGGAAATGCATGTACTATCTCTTACCAAGTGTAATGATTATATGATTGCTACACAATACATATATAATATTAATCGTTAGCTGGTATCTGACTGTTTTTGGAACAGGAATTGGAATAGGAGGTTTTTGAATGTGTACAGGGAAGGGGAATGTCGAATTTTGATCGGGAGGGAATTCCACAAGTTGACAGAGCGGGCTATAAAGGAATTTTGGAATGAGGCAGATCTATGAGAAGGGATGTATAGGTCAGAGGGTCGGGATCTTGTAGTGAGTGAATGGATTGAGGACTTAAATTGGAGAAGGTTGTAGGCATAAGAAGGACGATGATCGGTAATGATTTGATAAAGGAAAGTGCCAAGGAAATATTGTCTTCTTAAGGAGGGGAAGAGCCACCCTAACTCAGTGTAGTGGTGGGAGACACGGGAGCGTCTCGGGGTTCCGATTTACAATATATATATAGATATTATATATATGTATATATATACAATATTTACAATCTGGCGAGAGAACTCCAAACCAGACTTGTCCTTCCAAATCTGGAGGGTAAAACATGATTCCAGGAGATCCCTGTACTACTCTCTCAACATTGTCACTGGGGCTAGACCCAGTGGAATAATGCTATCTAATATTTGGTATTGGACCCCCTTTTCCCTCCCACTCCCTCCTCCCCCCCACACAGACTAACGCTAAATGCTCTTCAATCTTTTCAGTGAATTTTAACCATTGACCAAACATTGTTGATAATTAGGACTTACCCAATTCTGGGGCGTATTATCTATGTTGATTATTATTCTATCCGGGAGATCCCTGCACTTCTCTCTCAACCGCGTCACTGGGGCTAAACCCAGTGGAGATTGAGCAAGTGTGCTAAGAAATAATTAAAAAAAAATTCTATGTAAACAGTTTTACATTGACAACAGCTAAAATGCCTTTAGCAAGATAGAAACTTATAAGTTATTTATATTTTTTCTTACCTAATCTCTAATATTTTACATGGCGATTTCAATTGATGTGTACTAACAGATGAGCAATGATCCGCAGGTGAGGCGGCACATGGGACTGGCGGTGGACGACGACGGAGCCGATTCGCCGAGCCCTCCGCCCCCACCCGCGGCGGCCCCCGCCGCCCCCAGCTGGCCCGGCCCGCGGAAGAAGCGGCAGTTCGACGTGGCCTCCCTCCTCGCCCCCGACCCAGAGGAGGAGTCCCCCTGGCCCTGCCACACCCTCAACCGCCACCTCATGGCCAAGTACTACCAGCAGGCCTGTCCTCAGGAGTCCTGCCTCCCCAGGGTCTGAGCTAGCCAGGATCGAGGATAGTGTCTGCGCTCGGCATCGCATGCTGCTTTCTTCACTTCAGTTTAGGTCTACGGTTAACTTCAGTCCAAATCATATCTTAGAACATGCGTCAAGATCAGGTCATGCTTTTTCCAAGGATCGGACAAAACTTTCAGTTTGGCTACAGTAATGAGAAGACAATGATATCTTAAAGAACTTCCATTCATAATATGCGAAATAGCTCATACATTACGCTGCAACATCAAAAATATTTTGTGCAATGTCTCTCTTTACAAGAACACAAATTCAGTCCAAATGTTTTTATAATTTATAATACAGTATAAAGTATATCTAACAAAAGCTATACGGATGTCATTGGTTGGATTAGTTTGCACCTTAATAAGATATTTATGGTTGATCATAAATAATTTTTTCATCTTCACTATTAATTTACAAGAGACTATTTAAAAACTTTATACATCATAGGCTTACTATTTAAATCCTTTTTTTTTTTTTTTGTATAGTCTGTTCTTACAAGTATTACACCTGCAGGCCTCCCCAATTAAGAGGTTAATGGTCTAACTTCCCGCGGGGACCAGCCGTATTGGGAAGTAGGGTCAGGATTCGATCCTATATTTGCTTTACTAGTATAGCGCGCTAACCACTCTGCTATATCGGTCCCATTTAATATTTAAACCTATTGGTGCATTTAAATATAGAACAATAACGTCTGTTCAAAATCAACATTTTTATTATTTATTATTATTATTTTTTTTTAAGTGAAAACTTCATTAGGCGCGTTTTGTACTTTGCAGTGGAGAGTGAATTAGATTGATCCGTCAGATTTCTGAAGTACAAACGCTCGGGAAAAATCGGTCAGAGTCTACTAATGGAAATTTTTCAATGTATGGATTCAAATATCTCAGAAATTAAAAATCGGGCCTGCATACTGTAAGCGAGAAAATTGTTCAGCATTTCATCCTCTCTTAACGCGACGCCGTGTCAGGGAGGCGAAAAAGAAAAAATACTATTAAAAACCAAATGATAAGGTTAGTTAAACATATCGACTAAAATATTTCAATTACTAAAAATCGGATCTGCACACTGTAAGCGATGGGAGTGTTCAGCATTTCATCTTCTTTGTAATGAGCTATTATTTATAATTTATATTTCATATTATTAATCTCGCCTGGTTGATGTTTTCACTTATATCCTGTGGTCTAAATCACACACCTTAGTTTTTTTGTTTTTTTTTTATAGAACATTCATTCACATTCATCAAAGTTTTAATTTTAAATAGATAACATCATTTTTTTTAAATTAGTATATAAAATGGATGAAATTTAATGGTGTTTTTAAATGGAATTAAAAATCTCTTAGTTTGTGGATTTTTAGTGGTAAATCAGTGTTGAAGGAGGTAAGAAAGGCAAAGTTTGAACGGAATTTATTTGTTGTTGAAATTTGATTGTTTTGACCTTATTCTTATAAATAACATATGAGTCGATTTTATGAAACGATGCCATTTATTTCAATATATATAGTTTCGTAGTTTCTTTTTCCAAATATCGAATTCTGCCTGAAAACCAAATAAATTAATAGTGGAGGTGAAAAATATCTTCAATCATGCTTTTTATTATTATTAATAATGGGCATCAATTATTTCAGAAACAGTCATTTTTATAAAATATTGGAAGATTTTAGACATAATCTGACATTCAGTTTCCCACTAATGTACTGTTTAAGAACAATTGGTCATAATTAAAAAAGTATGAGCAAAAGAAATAACTATTTCTATATTAATCATTTGATTTTTATTCCTTTTTGTGAGTGCATTGCAACGCCATGATTTCCGACCATACTCCTGTCATATTGGAGATAATGACCAATAATGAACCAATAAGATTGAGCAATTGCAGATAAATGAAGTTTAGATATTTAAAAATATATTAGTCTAAATATTTTAACATTAAATTAACGTGCAATGAATAATTAAATAAGAGGCGAACTGTTTTAAATAAAAATAAATATTTTATAATTTGACAGATAATTCAGTTAGCAGAAGGTCTTGGCAGTCATATTAATTCCATAATAATTCGAAATTATAATTAAATTTACTTTAACCAAAGGCTGGTAAAGAGAAGATCGCTTGATTAGACACGGCGGAAACTTGTCGTTTAGAACAAGGAGGTCCCGAAGGTTCCAAGTTCGAAGATCGGACCCGAGGGAAGGTGTATATAGAACTTAACATTATCCCTGTGATCAGATGATTTATTATTATCTATTGTCTTTAGCTGGAATGTACTTTCTACGGCGTAGCGAGCAGGTAAAATATTATTATAACAAAAATTAAAATTAAAATTAAAAAAAAAAAGTTACCAAGTTCATTGCTATCTAGGAGTGGGAGATGTATCGAGTAAAATTACTTTTGATAAAAATTTATAACTCTTTGTTTTTCCCTGAATCTCCATGTTAATTTGTACAAAAGTGGTTTTTAAAGATATTTATAAATTGTATATTATTATAACAAATAAGTTATTATTTATGTTGTACTATTATATAGATTATTGTACGTGCATACTTTGTAAATATTAGATCTTAAGAATAAAACGTATTAATTCCGACTGTGTGTGTGTTTTTTTGTTTTGTTTTTTTTACTAGTACTACTCCATACCAGACTGAAACGAGAAGAAACCGCTCGACGTTTCCGATTACTTCAGCACTTACTAGACATACGCTCAAAACTTTCAATTAATTACAAAAGACTCATATACATGACTATAATAAGGCTTCTTTGGACTTACGGAGTTGACCTATGGGGCTCCACTAAACTATCAAATTCCTCTCGTATCCAATCCTTACGATCCAAAATCTTTCGTAAAATCCTCAATGCTCCCTACTTTGTTACAAATAAAACCATCCATAATGACCTTAATGTTTCTTATGTTTCAGATCTGGCCCTATCCAGATACCTATCCTTCCATAATAAACTTCAGAATCATCCCAACCCTCTCGTTTCTAACCTTACTTCCTCTTCAATTCCTGATAACCCTCCGAGGCGTCTGAAAAGAAGATGGCCCCGTGATCTCCTAATGTATATATATCATTCGAGTGCTACCATTGGGTAGTTACTCAGCAGGTGTTTTAACGTCATTATATCCATATGTTCAAATTTAATAAATGTATTTCTTTAATACAGTTGTAAATATCATTAAGAATATATACCAACTGAAAAAACAATTTCTGAAAGACATTGTTATGAGAGAGGTATATGTATACATCGCTGAAATTGTTGGAAAGTTGTGAAGTAATAAAATTGAAATGAAAAATAATTTTATTCTGTGAATAAAGTCCCCATAGAATAGTACCGAGTTCAAAAAAATATATACAATACATCATTCTGGCATGTAAGTATTGTTGTAAAGTAGCAGGCTTCAACCTTTTTGCAGAAATTGTCAAATGCTACTCTGAGCACTGCATACTGACATTTTTGAGTACCAAAATATTTAATTAATACTTCAGTTGATGTCAAGCGATTAGCGATTCAATTTGAGTAAAATATTTGGTACTCGGTACTGGGAGTAGTATTTGCCCATCTATGCCTTTTGTCAAATAGACACACCGTAATTTTTAAAAATTAATGATCGAGGAAACCTCGTTAAAATATTAAAATTTCTGCAAATTTCAACAAAGAAGATGATGGTAAAATATAGTAATACCGCAAAATATCTCATTTTTTTCATTTGTTATTCTTGTGTATTTGGTATGAATGTATACCATGCTGTATATATAGTTATACATTTATATATTTTTAAAATGCATATATTCTATTAATGTATTACATATATACACCGCAACTATATAGTTACCAAACCTGGCTGAATATTTACAAAAATAAAAACAGAATTAAACAATATAAAATATAAAGTACTACATACATTTAGATATTCCATGAATTTCTATTATTAGTGATTTAAATAAAGACAAAAAAGTTATTAAGGACAATTTCGTAGTTTTATTTTGGAAGTATGATATATACATCTCATATTATTGTTAATATGCCACTATCGAATAGAATCGTCATTTACATATTATTATCATCGGTAGTGTATATTTGTATTATAAGAAACCCCAAGTGCTTCTAAAAAACCTTCCTGACAAGCTGTTTTCTGATACATCCTGGAACAAAAGCAATATGATTCCAGATAACCGTGATTATAGTTTTGGCAAATCTTTTGTGGAAAAACTTCATAAATCTAAACTTGTAAGCGAAAAATAATGATTTATTTAAAGGATTGATTGTAATTATCCTGGCAATGCTGTAAGTGAATAGATATACGTAGGAAAATATAGTTCGGCAGTTATAAATATTAATTGTAGGTAATAATAAATATTGATTTTCTACTGCTAAGATTAAAGATGGAATAGGTGAAGACATGTTGGAGAAATAAGGAATAGAAATGTTTAAAGAATTCCCTATAATCCTGTAACCTTCAAAAAGGTTATTGAAAGATTTGTTAAATAAAGTGGTAGTATACCTTAGTTCCATGGAAGGTGGATATACAAGCTGCTGGGCTGAGATCTGGTTATGTAATGAGAGTAAAGAAAGTTTTTTTGAAGAGTTGGAAAAGAAATATTTCTCAAAAAAAAAAAACACATTGAAATAAAAAAAAAATTTGGACTTGATTGTAATGAAGGATTTATTTTCATGCTGTTTAATAAAGCATTCATAACTTTTCTGGATTTCCTTTATTTTTTTTAAATTTAAACTTAAGCAAATTATAACTAGAAATATAAAACTAAAAAGTTTTAAGTTTTTCTTTATTTATTCCTTATCAAAAAGTAAAATTCAAAAGTTATTTTATTTTGAAGAACTATAATTTAGCTTTTCCATGGTTGTAGTAACATGGACTTCCAAAAAAATCCTTAGGAGCTACGAATATTTTTTTTAATGATCTAAAAAAAATCCTTATTATTATTATATAATAGCCCGAAAATTAATATTTTTTATTTCGTTATAAATA